CAAACACGCGCAAATGATCATATGTGGGTTTTGTTCGGAAAAGCATTTTAAAAGGAGTCTTTTCTTGGAGAAGGGGTGTTGGTGTTCGGTTGATTAGGTAGGTGGCAGTTAGGATTGCATCTCCCCAAAATTTTTTGGGTAAATTAGCTTGAAACAATAAAGCTCGGGCTATGTTGAGTAAGTGACGATGTTTTGTTTCGGCTACACCATTTTGTTGCGGAGTGGAGACACAACTTGATTGGTGAATGATGCCTTTGTCGAGATAGAGATTTCTCAATATGAATTCAGGACCATTATCACTTCAAATGATTTTGACTTTTAGATTGAATTGTGTTTTAAAGAGGTTTATGAACTTGATGATGTTTGAATGTGTATCTGATCTATGGTTCATCAAATAAGTCCATGTGCATCGAGTATAATCATCAACAATTGTGAGAAAATACTACGCTCCTGTGATTGAAAGAATTTGGTATCCTCCCCAAATGTCAACATGAATTAATTCAAAAGGTGTTTTTGAACTAATGGAACTTGTTTGAAAAGATAAACGAGTTTGCTTAGCCAATGGACAAATTAAACAATAAAAAAACATTACAAATTTTCTTGTCTATAATTAAAAAAGGAAACAAGCTGGAAACTTTATTCGATGGGTGGCATAGACGTTTATGCCAGATTTATTTATGCCAGAGATTTGGAGATGGTGAAGTAGCAACATTGCACTTGCTCTTTTGTGGAGTATCAAGGTAGTAGAGTCCTCTTTTAGTTTCCGTCCCAATCATATTCCCCGATTGTTGGTCCTGTAGTACACAAGTGTGGTTATTAAAAATGGTAAAACATTGTGAATCAAACACAAATTTGCTAATGAAAATCAGATTTAATTTGAAGGAGGGGACACATAAAATATTTTGTAAAACAAAGTAAGCAAAATGGATATTGCCTATGTGTGTGACAGTTGCAGTAGCCCCGTTAGGCAAGTGAACTTTTTGATTGATGACACTGGATTTTGTAGTAAGTAGGTTGACTAAATATACCATGTGATCCGTGGCTCCTATGTCAAGAATCCAGCTTATTTCTTTGTTAAAAACAGAGGCACAAGATTTTACCTGAGATATCACCCATGACTGATGTACTGCCAATATGATTAGCCATCGAATTAGATTTGTTCTTTGCAAGTAGTGATATGAGGCTTTGATATTGTTTGGCTGTAAGGGTGAATAGTGCAGGACTCGTCGATGTATTGCTATCCGCATGGTTGGCTTTGGGAGAAAAATTTTTCTGTTCTGATTTATTGCCCGCTGGATTGGTCATTTGCAGTTTCCTACAGTCATTGATGGTGTGTCCCTGCCATCCACAATAATCGCATTTGAGATGTGCTCGGCACGTGTCTGAGGTATGCCCAATTTTATCACATTTTTCACACTTTAAATGAGGATTTTTAGGCGTGAAAACCTTTTCTGGTTTTCGTGCAATTATTCTTCACGGTAAAAGCTGAAGCTTCCGGCTGCGACGCATTTACATTGCTCATGTCGCGCTGCTTTTCCTCATGGAGCGCGAGAGAATATGTCTTGCTGACATTAGGAAGGGGATCCATGGCAAAATTTGTCCTCTTATACTAGTGTATGTTTCATTAAACCCCATGAGGAATTTCATGGTTTTCTATTTTGCTGAAACTGCATCGCTTCCTTCATGGTACCACACGCGCATTTAGGAAATGTTATGGAGGGCGTCACGTTTGTCCCATAGGCCTTCGAGCTTGGTGTAATAAGCTCCAACTGTCATATCGCCTTGCTTGCAATCCTGGATGACTTCTTCGACATGGAAAATATGAACGCTGTTGGTACGAGAAAAATGTTCCTTCAAGTCAAGCCAGATTTCATGGGCACTCTCGTTGTATATATACTTGCTCCAATGTTTTCTGCAATTAAATTAAACAATCATGCCTTGACAAGGTTGTTGCAGCTCCATTGTTGGAGTTCTGCGGTGGACGTTTCTGGTGGTTCTTTGACGGTGTCGTTGACAAAACCTTCTTTGTTTTTTATGTTGAGAGCCATCAACATGACACGACTCTAGGAATTGTAGTTTTCTCCATTCAGCGGCTGCGTACAAGCAAGAGACCGGGTTGATCTGAGTAGTGGAGATAAAATGGGTCGTTCGGATTATCGAATTTGCTAGATTCAGGCTTTGTTGAATTTTGTGTTTTGTCTGCCATGTGTTTTGGCTTAGAAAGAAGATATATTAGGTTTTGGCGTGGAAGAGGAGATAGTAAGACTAAGAATCGTGTTTGCTCTGATACCATGTTAAAACTCAAAATAATGTGGTGGAATATTCAATATTTCATTGATATGAACGGGGTTTTTACAAGAATCTTGTAATAGGAAAAATAATAAAAGAAAATGATATGAAATGAAGAGTATAACACCTGATATCTCCAATAATTAATTCATATTAATTATTAGGAGCTATAAGAAATAACATAAAATAGGAAAACAAATATCTCATTAATTTTAAGAAAATAATTTATTTACAAGATAATTATTTTCTATCATAACTCTAATTCTAAGGAAATAATTTATTTATAAGAATAAATTATTTCCTATCATAACTCCTAACATTAGCCACGAATTATGCAGTACAATTAAGTTATAATTGATGATGATATTAGATGTTTTGTAAATTAATCTGAGAGCTTCATCATCAAGATGAATCTGCGCCATTTTTCTAGTTCAGTTTTGCTCTTAAGAATGAGGAAGAAATCTGTAAGTGTACAACAAAGACTTGCCAAACCATTTCTAACGCTTTTTGAATACATGAATATGATTTTCTTTTTCCATTTTTCCCCTCATGCTGTTTGCTCTTTGCAGCTTGCTTTAGTGTTCATGTTCGAGGATCCGAATACGTTTCTTTGCTTGGTGCAAATGAGGTTGATTACTCTTTCATGGGATTACCAGACTTGGATTCCTGAGAACTCGCAGCTGCTGTGGTGAGGATATAATGCATCCATTGTTTGGTAACATCATATCTCAAATTTTTTTAAAGGGAAATTTACACACGATTCTTATATAGTTACATATTTAAACACCCAAAATTTGGTATTTAAACTTATCAGACCTTGGTGCTATAAACTTATGCATAAAAAGGTACATTTAAAAAAAAAAGGACACTGATGGTAGTATTTTTAATATGATGTTAAAGATTTGAGTGGTATGCATATAAATATAAATGTTTAGGTGTTGGATAAGGAAATACATAAGAATTGTGTGGTATACATGTAAATGCCCCATTTTTTAAATGATTAATGCTACTGTGCTCAAGAGTGAGCCCAAACAAGGCCAAAAAAAATTTGCATTATTAACATGTCACATATCATCCATTCAATGGCTTCAGAATTTTGTTTTAGGCTCTGAATTGAATAGCATGACTTTTTTTTTTCCCTCTAAAATTGATCTTGCTGCTGATTACAGGCATATATTGAAGACATTTTTTTTTCAGTGGGTTTATTGGATTGCTTATTTTTCTTTTATGGACAAGTTATGATTTGTGGGTTCCATCTTCTTGTTCGCTTCTTCTTTGTTATGTTGCCTATAATTAAGTATGTTTATGAAGTTTTGAGGATATTAATGGATTGGATTACTTTTTTGGGCTACCTTTCATATCATTTTATTTCCATTATTTTTCATTTTACTTCTTATATGTGGTTTTTTTGGGTTGTAGCTTCTCTTCTAGTTGAATTACACACATGCGCGCGCGAGCACACACACACAAGCATATATACTCATACACATATACATATATATACATATACATGTATGTATGTATCTATATACGCGTGTGTGCTCAACCTGTTGGTTGACATCCACAGTATAAGACCTCTTAAATCGGGGATATAAGTCCCTTGAGGTCAGGGGTTCGAATCCCCTCTGGCACAATACTCGAATTGTTAGACACATTAGGGGTTACTGGAGGCTCGTATAATAGCCTCTGACAATTCCTTTATATATATATATATACATATACGCGAACCAGGTTGGCTATTTGGTTTGGCAGAATGTGTAAGACCTCCTAAGATCCCGGGTTCGAGACTGTCTGGGACAGTGCACGGGTGTAACACACTTTGCGATACATCTTTCTATTTTTTTAATGCACACACACACACTCAAATCTGATTTACGAATTGAATATGATTTGGGTTAATTAACTAAAGTGACGATTTAATCTTACATATTATACTCGTATCCATCTTTTTATTAAGGCATGAGAGATTGGCACCCTCAAAGTAAAGTTTGTTATGAGTTTCCTAACTCTTATTGACAAAAAATACACAAAAGGTTAATAGTAATGCCTTTACTAATGAGAGCTTCTTTGATTTTAAGCCATATTATATAGTTTTCCAAATCTGTAAAGCAAATTTTAAGTAGCATCTCTTAAACCAAACCAAATTGAACCAATCCACTTTTGGGAGGGCCTCATAGTCAAAAAGATGAGCAAACTTTTGAGAGTAATGATCCAGCTTTTTTCAAATGCAAGAGAAATGATTATCCGCAATTGCAATATTGGTAATCTTGCACATACATTGAGGGACATTAGAGTAGGATATAAATGACCAATCCCCCTTACAAATAATATCAAAAATTTTGGTGCTGAGAAGTAAGATTTTCCTGCCATGTATTTTATGAAGAGAAGATCTGGAAACCCAGATATAAAAATAAATGAAAGAATATGGTCAAAATTAACAGAAAAGGAGTGACAACCCTTTATTCTTACAGCAGTTTTAGTACAGACTCTCCAGAATGAGAAATTTGGATATAGTCCTGGATACATGTAGATATACATACATATATATATATTTTTATATATGTATACATATCTATATATATATATATGTATATTTACATACATATGTACATATGTACATATGTACATATGTATATATATATATATATACACACACATATACGCGAACCAGGTTGGCTATTTGGTTTGGCAGAATGTGTAAGACCTCCTAAGATCCCGGGTTCGAGACTGTCTGGGACAGTGCACGGGTGTAACACACTTTGCGATCCATCTTTCTTTTTTTTTAATACACACACACACACACACTCAAATCTGATTTACGAATTGAATATGATTTGAGTTAATTAACTAAAGTGACGATTAAATCTTACATATTATACGCGTATCCATCTTTTTAGTAAGGCATGAGAGATGGCACCCTCAAAGTAAAGTTTGTTATGAGTTTCCTAACTCTGATTGACAAAAAATACACAAAAGGTTAATTGTAATGCCTTTACTAATGAGAGCATCTTTGATTTTTAAGCCAAAAAAATTGTATAGTTTTCCAAATGTGTAAAGCAAATTTTAAGTAGTATCTCTTAAACCAAACCAAATTGAACCAATCCACTTTTGGGAGGGCCTCGTAGTCAAAAAGATGAGCAAACTTGTGAGAGTAATGATCCAGCTTTTTTCAAATGCAAGAGAAATGATTATCCGCAATTGCAATATTGGTAATCTTGCACATACATTGAGGGACATTAGAGTAGGATATAAATGACCAATCCCCCTTACAAATAATATCAAAAATTTTGGTGCTGAGAAGTAAGATTTTCCTGCCATGTATTTTATGAAGAGAAGATCTGGAAACCCAGATATAAAAATAAATGAAAGAATATGGTCAAAATTAACAGAAAAGGAGTGACAACCCTTTATTCTTACAGCAGTTTTAGTACAGACTCTCCAGAATGAGAAATTTGGATATAGTCCTGGACTAGAGTGACCCATAATGATTAATGCACCACTTGGAGAGATAGGAATTAGATTTATAGAGAGAAGTTTTAGGATTTTATTCATAAGAGAACATATGTACCCTTGATTCCTAGCTTGAATCTTTAATGTCCTACTTATCAGTTTGTTTGGTATAAATTATATTGCATAAGTGGCTATTGTTAAGCTTAAAAAGAGAAACTAAAATACAATGGTTATGTAACATGGTCTATTGTTTGATGGGGCGCCTAGCCATTGAAGCTGGTATTCAGATTAAAATATGTAGACTGATGTATGTTGAACTAACACGCTGTTGTCTGTCATTGTCAAGTTGATATATAAATATTCATAACATGCCTAA